AAGTAACGTTAAAAAGTTTGCTAATGACGTTTTATTTTTCTAGTCCTGCGAGTTGAGAGTGCTTTCACCCTCAACACTAGTGGCTTTAGGTACAAAAGTAATAGTTTTGCAGTTATATTTCATGTTAAATATAATAAAAATAAGCATGTGTTTTTAATTAATTTAAAATAAATATAAAATAAAATAAATTTACTCCTTGCTTGAAGTAAATTGGATATTCGCGACAAAGCTCATATGCAGTCTAAGAGATAATAGTAGACAATTTCCAACTCAATGTTATTCTGAACTGCTGGTCTGTCATTTGCATAAAAGATGCAGTTGAATTTTCGTAACTCTTGCTAAAATGACTCATATATATAATCTACTGTCAACTTTTGTATTTCTTGTAACTGACGACTTTCCTAATAGTTATTTTCAATTTTGTGTTGTAAATCAAATAATAAAAAATTACCTGACTTACCCTAGAAAATAATTTTGCTTAAAAAAATAAACTTTACGCCGTCATAAAATCGGTAGTTCAGTTCCCTTCTTAATTGCAACAAAATCACGTTTTCGAATTCAAGGTTTGCTTGACTTTCAATTAAGAGCAATTATTACTGTTTCACTGTTTCATTTATAATGAATACGTATTATTATTTTATTAATTAATTAAAATAATAAGATTACAGTAAAAAACTTGAGCCCACTCATTGTATTAGAATTTTGCCTTTTTTGTTAGCGACAAGTTTGTCTGGCTAATGTCAAGATCATTGCCACTTGACTGCGCTGCCAATGGCGTTGCTGGCGTATGAGCGATTTGCCCGCACATACCCCTCGTTACATGTGCATTTGTGGCACTTCCGCTCGGAGCGTGTTGTCAACGCCATGCGAATATAAAGCGTCCATGGAAGAATGTGCCGCGGTCTGAAGTATTCTGCGTCGCTTGCGTTACTTTTTCTAAATGACTCATGGAAATGGCAGTGTATAAGAAAATTATTGCTTTCTGAAACTGAAATATTTCATTTGCCATTTCTTTTATAGATAAAACTGCGAAAGCAGAGTTTTGTGGCTCTAATCAATTAACAGTGGAAATGTCGGCCGTTGCTTACTGTCATGCAACGCAATCGTTTTACTAGTATCTGGCACTGGCGGCAGTACTAATGTACGGGAGTCTGATTAAAACGCAGTTCCTGTAGTGCTGATAAATGCCCGTTTTTATTTTAGTAAAAACTATTAAACTTCGCAAATCTTTATGATATGAATAGCACGTTCCTAATATGTCGCCATTTTACATTTCGTTCGGAACAAATTTATTTTTCTCCTTAGCTGCGATATACAAATCGTGATTCATTTGTTTTGACTGATGTGAAATACATACGACTCTTCCGTAGGATTGACTTTTATTTATTATCTAAAAACAATGAAAAACTATTTTTAAAATTATATATATAATAATTTTTCATACATCAAACTATTGATCTTATTGAAATTATAATTACAGTTATTTCATTGTGCTATGTTTTAAACGATCGGTACTAATGGTGGGGAAATAGAAATTTTTTATTAATCCCTTAATTGTTGAATAAATAATTTTAACTTAAGTATATATATATTTACAAAGTGAATGACGAAGATATCATTAATTAATTGATAAAAGACTTTTTTTGTTATCCTAATGAGTTTTTCAATTTATTAACTGAATTCAGAGATGAATGATATATTGAATTGTGTTGAAATTTTAATACTGACACAAAATCATATGAGCTAATAGACTTCTTCATTAGTTAGCTATAATCACTGATAGCTTTTGTATAAGATGTCCAACGCTATATAAAAATTGTCTACTTAAACTTTAAAGTCGGACGGTACAACATCTAAGCAAAAAGGTGATGAGAATGTAAGGCTCTTTTATATACGCAATAAAGCTTTAAATTAAGGAAGTACATACGTGCCCAGAGAGAAATCATAAGCCTTTCAATGTGTTAGTAAGATCATCTTTTATTGAGATAAAACTACTTGCTGAACTTTCGAAATCATTGTCTATTTTGTTTTTGACATCTGTATAATAGTTGGCTTTGCAATAATAATCCATTGTCATTTTGAATCTCAAAATCCATGGATATATAAAGGTTTGCTATGTAGGGATTTCATTGCACTACAATTTTTTTGCACCAATTAAAGGTGTAATTTCCTGCTGTGAAAGAAATTTTTTTACCACGAGATACGTATTTGTGAATACATACATATTTTATAATTTACAAAATAATGAGTTCGTTATGAGGAAGCTAACACCTGCACATATTTTATAAATTACATTCCATATGTAACATTATGAAGCTCTGTGACAGTTATTTATCATAACTGTTAATTTTTTATATAAAATAATCTGTTTTGATTCAAATTAACATAACAATCGCCAAAACGCTGCAATTGCACGATTTCGATATTAATTTTTCTAGTTTCCTAATGTCACACGTCATCCAGGTAGTAACGAATTACAATATTTGCGTTTTTCTATTTGTTGATCTGAATTCGGTTGCAAATGTGACGAATAAAGTTATATTAACAATTTGAGGTCTTTATTTCAGATAGACATGAGTAATTATAAAAACTGTGGGTGTCATCGTGCTGATCAACTCCGGAAGCCTATTTGATGAAAAATTTTCATTATTCATTTTGGAAATTTTTTGAAAAATGTGTTAAAATATGGGAAAGGTGATTTAATATATTTTTGTAACATAAAAATATTGATAATTTGTTAAAAATTATATTTGAAACATATCTTCATGTTTCATAAAAGTTACATAAAAGTTTCGAGTCGGTACCTTGAAGCGATTCAAGCAATTTGTGAGAGAAGACTTATTCATGGAGTTAACTATTTTTTTAGAGAAAATATATCTACTATTGTCACTTATTATAGCCTCATGCTTTTCTGATCTCAGCTTTTTTATTTTTCTTGTTGCAAAGAGCATTAATTTTTTATCCCATTAAATATACGTCTAAAGATATGTGATGTCTCTGTTTTAATATTATTGTCTGATCAGAGTATGTGTATTGTCGTGGTTCAGATATGGAAATAAGGCAATCAGTGGCAAATTTATATATCTGCTTTCGTTTAAAACAGAATGTTCGCGAAATAATTATTATTGGTTTATTTATATACAACAAATTATATTTATTGTCATTATAATTTTTTTTTTGAGAACCCTTACTTGATTTCCTATATTTCTTATTTTTTGTTTGTTTTTCACTTAGCAACTCCAAAATTATATGAATTGTTTTTTGAATATAATAAAAAATATTCTGTAGGTTTGGTAACTTGACCGAGTCGGTTGACTTTGTAATTTGGTTTTTTTTTTTTTGGTAGTGACTTCAAAAACGCTTAAAGTCCCAACACAAAATGTAAACGATTTTTTGAGATAGTAATTATTGATAGGATCCAGTATTAAAAATTGACCACCTCTTTCCAGACATTATCCTTATTTTTTGAATAAATTAATTAGCTTATACATTTATTTAGTTTAGTAGGAAAGTATTAAACGTACACTTATTCGATTGTTTATTGTTTATTCTACTATAAATCGTTTATGCTACACCACAAGATTGAAAAATGATTATTCGGGTGCGTACATAAATATGTGCATATGTATATTAAAAATGAAAGATCACTTGCGGTGTTTTCTTATCTTATACATATATACATATACACATGTTTAGCATACATGCGTAGGTTTTGTTTGAAACGTACTAACATTTATCTAGTACCGAAGTAACGTCTATGAGTAACATTGTCTTTTTTAAATAAAAAGTGAAAAAAGTGGTGATTATATCTTTACGTTGTTGTTGTCTACAAATGATAATCAAAATTGAGCATTTTTTTTAAAAGCCAATACTCTCCAAAATGCTCATTTGCTCTTCAGTGCCGCTCTTTTACAACTTCTCATTTTTTCATCATTTTTGGTTGACTTTTTTATGTTGTATTTTTGTTTACAAAATTTGTTATTGTTTTGTTCACTAAACTGAGCGCGGCATGTGTACGAGTGCCATCAGCTGTTGGCTTTACTTGCTGTTTGTTTTTGTACTGTGCACCACACGTTTTTGTTGCTCAAACAAGTTTTGTTGTCGTTGTCGTTGTTGGTGTCGGTGTTGTTGTTGTTGGGTTTCTTTATGTTTTGAATTTTATTTATATTTTTATGTTTTTTAAAGAAAAAACTGCCTTTAACAAAAGCGCATTCAGTGAACGCACTTTAGTAATAATTTAAACGCGCATTGTGCGGTGTGTGGCGGCGCTTGTGTTAATATCAGTTTGAATAGAATTTAATTTCCGTTTCGCTTCAAATTCGAGCGAAACGGCGTCCGTTTATTGTGATAATATATATATAAAATTTTATAACATATCTTTTTGAAATTTATAAAATCCTCATAAACAATGTTTGTATTGAGTGCAAATTTTTTGTTTTGAGCTTGAATTCGTGACGAAGCGAGTCCTTTGTGCAATGAAAAATTTGTTAATGCGCATGGCTAACGAAAATGATTAACATGAAACAGCAGTGTTTGGTTTCTACTTATTAAAATTTGTATTTAAAAAGTTAATTATATATAGAAATAATAATATTAATATAAAAAATTTTTTATAATAGAAATAATTTTAGAATATCAGTGAATAAAATTTTCTGTGCCGCCTTCAAAATGCTTAATGTGACTTTGGAGTTGCTTCCATTAGATTTTTATTGAAATCTGCTGCTGTCTTCCCGGTTCTTGGCCGTTATTTGTTTATTTGTGAAATTCTTCAGTGAAGCAACACAGCTGCAAAAATAGAAATTTTCCGACTTCCACCAAAAATAAGAAATATTTAAAAAATTTAAAGTGAAATAAATTATATAATTAAGCAACAGGAAATTTCATAAAAAGTGATATAAAAAATATAAAAAAATAAAAATATATAAATTGAGCATAAGAGTGATTAGTATTAAAAATTAATTAATTAAATAATAGTAATAATAGAGTATTTAATAAATTTATTTAGTAAATTTAAAATTCAGTTAAGAAAATGGGTGTCGAACGTGCTAACAAAATTCCAAGTATATTTTTTACATATAAAACGACGATTTTTGTGGCAATAACATTGGCAGTCCATGCCGCACCGCTTGCTGAAGCTTCACACCGAAATCGTATCAAGGATGAATCAGCTGTTTCACAGGACTCTGTGGTAGGTTTTTCAAGCTCTTTACAAATTAAGAAACCAACATAAGGGAATATTCTGCGTAAGTAAACATGTTCAAACGTCACTCACTTTCACTCTTCCTTTTACTCAATTTCGGCCCACATTGCTTATAGCGTCAAATCTGCTTTTAGCCGTTGGCGCCGCGTTGCCGACACGTCCTGCAAACGATTTTCTTTGTTTTGTTTGCTTGTGTCGTTTTATATAGAACCCTTGTTTGCTATTTTAAGGGTTCAAAACTGTTCGTTCGTGAGAATATCTGGTTGCCATTCGGCTTGAAATTCACGAGACATCGCATTTCTGAGCGAATCGCTTTGTTAATTGAGTTCTTTACGTTCTTACTTCTTCGTGAAGAGTCTGAGTTCGTTGTCCTTTTAAAAAATGTGCGTGTTATTACGTATTTAATGAGTTTTTTTTTTACATTACAGTTTAAATAGCTAATTTACGTGTTAGCGTTTTCAAAAACTATTAATTAATTTATTTTAAAAGAGGGTCACTTAATTAGTGGTTGCAGGATATGGTTGTATCCCCTTAACACAAAATATAATGGACGGAGCAACGCCTCCTGTTTTCACACATTTTGGATGTGTTTACAATAAATTAACAATAAAAGGAAAGATAATGTATAGTAGAAGTAGAGAATGAGGCGCATAAATTTATGTTATTGAAAAAAGTTTTTAATTGAAAAGATTTTTAAAAAGGTTTCGGATCCAACACATTTTTGATGTATCGATATATAGCCCGTCACTCACAACAAATTTAAGAAAAAATTCGACATTATTCAGCGACATAGTTGCTTTCAAGTCCGATAATTCATTCGATCGCTGAAAACACATTGGTCCTGTTCTCAAATTAGGCTCCAAACAGGCAGCAGGCACTGGAAGTTAGATACGAAGAATACGCAGCTATCTGGACTTAAGTATAAATACGTTTCATCCATTGTCACCTAACACGGGAAGAATCATGTCTCTTGCACTATAGCTTCTGAAAATAGCGACCTTAATGTTTGATTATTTATTATGGTTGCAATAAGATAACAATAAACTTATTCTATGAACTTCTCACCTATTGTGAGGTTTCACATTCGTAATCATTCTCGCAACACTTTGTAATCTGTCTTCACCATGGTATATTGATATAATTATGAGACATTAGGTAGTTTAAAGTGTTATCGCAGCAAAATTAAATTGATGACTGATTATTGTGGTGTATCATATTTTAAATATTATTTCCGATATTCGTTATCTAAAGTGTAGCATAGACTAAGTTTAAGTCATTTCCTAATCATTTCCAGTTATTATTTAAATACATGAGTTTCGTTGACAAAAATATGATTACTTCATAAATATTACAAAATTTGGATAACTTACTAAGGGAAATTCTCTGAAATATTAAAATTCCCGTTAGATAAAGAAATGAAAATCAATATATTTGTCATTTTAACTCTTTATTCTATTCAAATAAAGAAATTTAAGGTCGTAATGACGATCACAATCAATATAGAACAATTTTATAGCAACCATATATTCTCTATATATTCTTATACGAGTAAAACGTATAAAAATACTCATCTTTTACATGATTTATATAATTCTCGCACGACTGGAGTTAATAAAATATTGAAATAATAATAAACACTAGGAGTGTGTGTTATTGTCACAATGTTAGTTTATTGTCCCATTGTGAATTACTATTATTATGTTACCCAATCAATTAATCAATATCGTGAACACACCTTCCATATTTCATTCCTGTGAATTTCACTTAATGTAATGTAGAAGCTGTGACAAAATAATAATAAATAAAAAAACATGTATTCTGCAACTTAAAAGAATAATAAACACTTTGATAGTGTTCTCAAAATATGAACGATAATGAATCATTCTAATGAACTTCCCCATTAAAGAAACTGCCGTCTTCTGTACACAATTCTTTTAGAACGAACTTGATGGCAGCAGACACCTGAACTTATAAAAATTGTCTGATGACGTGGGTTCGCTCAAGTGACTTCCTAACATAATATAGCCGTAGAATATTAAGTTCTTATAAGTACATAAAAATGTAGCTAAGTCAATGAAATGATTTTAAATATAGAGACTCTTCCAAAGAAACTGTAACTACCTCTATATTGTCTATTCCAAACTTCTCCCCAACTCCTTTTCTTGTCGCCTTAACCTTTTCTTGTTGCTATATTTAACTCGAAATCAATTTAATTGCAATTATGAAAAACATTAATTGAAACTGCCAGTGAACACTAGAATGCAACTCATTGAAATCGCATAATGTGTTATCGTCTCTCCATAAATGAAATGAGAATTCAAAATACATATTTTTATGTCAGATGGAGGGAATAAAGTCTGCCTAGTTTTAAATGCTTTTATTTTATTTTTGTTTTAATTCTTTTCGTTTAGTACTTTATGACTTCTCTTGTTGTTTTATGCTTTAAATGCACTAAAAAATCACATGAAAGAACATAAACAAAACAAGAAAACCTAATAAAAGCGAAGAAAACTGAGGAAAATACTTGAATGCAGCAGTCAGCGTTGAACAATTGCTGTCATTGTGCGCGCAAATACGAGCAGTGCATGTGCATGTGTTGGTGCGTAGTTGCAGTTGCAACCAACGCACGCTATTCATACTCCGCTGTCTCGTAGGCATAATGTTACTGCAGCTCTAAAGACAAACTGCTTAAAACAACAAGACAGGCGGGTATAATACGGAATTTAGGGTCACATATGCTGGCAACGTCCGCAATACCCAAGTCTCAAAACGTGAGCGTTGATTGTACTGCAGTCTACGCCACTGTCACTTTATGTGCCTCTGCTACTTCGGATTTCATTTGATTTGTAAACGTTCTAAAAAACAAATTTAAATGGCAAAAGAGTAATCTTGAGTAATGTTAAGAGGGTTCATGTGAACAATCGAATAGGAGCAAACAACAAGCAGACTTTATGTGTCTCAGTTAGTAGCTTCAAGTAGTCTCATACGATTGATTTGTTGGTTATCTGCAGGAAGGTGAGTTTCCTAATTATAAAGTATTTCGAGGTTTATTCATTAGTAAAATCTAAAGTTCCAACTCATCCCACCTTAAAGTTCAAAATATTTACTTCTCCAAATTATACAGCTATAGACGTATTTATGCCTCAACCAGCACTGCACAAAAATAGGCCTATGAGCTCATGCATTTACGTACTTCATACACATATTCACTTGGGTCATCTATGCCCCCTGCCGTTACAACAACAATCCAATGTGGCAACAAATTTAAATAATTGTATTTTTATCAAAGAAGACTCATAACCATTTCTTTCAAGTTCTTCGTTGATTTGCAGTTGTGAGTAGTAGAAATGCGGTCAACATAGAGGCGTGGTTGTGTCTTCTGAAAAAAGGGCGCGCGTTCACGCTGCTGTCAGTAGCGTTTACTTCCGTTTCACTGAGTTATGCGTTCAGCATTTTTGTGAGCTTTATTTTGTGGACTTTTCTTCTGATTGTGTTTTTATTTTGATTTGTTAATTTGTTTGGATATTAAGTAGTAACGCATCTTTCTGATATTTCTTAGAAGTCCCCGGAATTAAAAATATTTCAGAATATGAATTTATTGCATTCTGGCAGCTGTTTGCGGGTCTGTACGTTAGTTTGTTCTACACTTTTATTGCCAAATGTAATTCGTTTTGACATTATGTATTGGATTTTTGTGTTAGTAATGCTAATCTTTCGCGGCATAGGAGCAATAAATCAGATTCTATAAATATGTCACACATCTGAATGGTATTTTGTATAATTCATAGTCTTAATAAAATAATGTGGGAGAGAAGTAAGAAAATAATGAAAGGTGAACAATTTTCAAAAATTAAATTCTGGGAATGTTTTTATAAATGATTTGCTAAAAATCAATTACTCATATTAAAAAATGATTTATATATACCAAGATAATATAGATCTATATATATTATTTGTATTAGTTGGATTATGAGATTATAAATCATCTTTCAACACATTCAAAAAAGTTTGTGAAATAATATAACAACTAAATACATATAGGTAAAGTTATAACTTTCCAATCCTCTGCGATCAAGAGACCATTTAAAAGAATATGCATTTTAGTCCTATATATATATATAATATATCAAAAAAGATAGTTAGTATTATATACGAAAAAATGGTAAATGTTTTATATAACATATATTACGTATATTATGCATTTGTGAATTATATTCACAAATTAAGCTCCTTAATCTTTAGGTCTCTCTCTTAATTAAATAATCTGTAACTAAACTTATACTGCAATGTGCTTTTTTAAGAAGCCACCACAGTTATAATAGTAAATTTGTTTAAAGGTAATTAATAAATTAAAAAATATATTTGACTTAATCTATCTCATGATCTAAAGAATGTGACCAGAGCAATGATATATAACAATTTTTTTAAACATTTAATGCTAATCAAAAACCAGTGGCGTCGTTAAGATTCCAACAATTTAGGTTAGTGATAAACTTACGATTGTTTTGTGTTATTTGCTATAAGTTAATGTGATATAAGTATGTATGTATGTAACATTCGTGCTGTTATTGTTTTTTTATGGCTGCACCCATGTACTTAAATGGAAAATCTCTACAATGGCATTTTTGGTTATTGTGATAGCCCCTGGAAACAGTTTCAGCTCGTTATTGAACACTTTAAATTACAAAGTTTTAGCTGTATTAATTTTTAGTCTGATTATTCCAATATTCATTCCCTATCTTTTCGAAAAGTTCTTCCTTTATCTGTATATGCAGTTTTATATAACTGTATATAAACAGTTTTAAGTGACAATAAATTTCGAATAGTTTTATCATTATTCAATATTAAAACTGCTTACTAAGCTACGAAACACACACAATTTGAAATATCTAGACAGTTTAGAATGATTTGCAAAATGCTAGATCGCGTATTCTGTAAGTACAAATATTAAATATACATATGTTCGATTATTTCGTGTCGAGTTATTAATAAACTAGAAAAAAATCTTAGCAGAAATTATCTTTAAACCCAAATTTAGCATATATTCTCCTATAGCTATCACAACATAACAGCATCTAATCTTGATACTGGCAAACATCCATTATGTATGGATGAATTAGGAAAATGTGTTTTATGTATTAAGAGGCAGAACAGCCTCTTAACACATAATGAAAACGTTTTTTAATATATTTATGAATTAATTATGATAAGAATATTAGAATAGCTTATTATCTGTAAATTTGATTCATTGTTTTTTTAACATTCGAATCTATTTTATTTACAAAAAAATTAAAATAAAAATTCCGTTTTACTATTCGAATATATATGGCTGTAAAAATATGAAATTATGTTTCTTATCTTTAGTAATTTA